ACCAGTAACTTCTTTAAGAGTCAGTGCTCATGACAAAAGAACATTAATGACTAAATTATTTCACACATTGCAATCAATATCACCTGAGATGTAAATACACTGATCTCTGTTTTTTTAAGAGTGATTCCAAAATACTGACCACATGGGTCACAGCAAGCAGACTGCCATTAAAGCGAAAATAAGTACCCTTGTTTTTAACGTCTGTATTGAATTTCTGTAAAATGTGTTCACTTCTGATCTAATAAAGAAAAAAAAGAGAACTGCCTCTGGATGTATCTTAGTTTTTCCTGATATCACATCTGCTCAGTGCCAGCAGATGCTTATTTATGAACAAAAAGCCTCTGAATGTGTGCTCAAACTGCAGATCGATGAAAAAGACATAAATAATTCAAAATGGCATGCATTCATTTTGAAATACATCAACATCCAGTGTCGTAATCACCACAGAAAACCACATCACAACTTATCTCCACATTTTGTTTGGGTTACGCATGTTCGTCCGCATGGCATGCACGTAAAGAGCTCACTGATCAAGGCGTTTCACAATGGCTTTTAGGGTCTCTTTAACAGGTAAGGTACAGTTAAAGAAAATAATTCTCCAAGAGATGACCAGAACACAGGACACTTTTAACTACAACTTGTTTGGAGCAGACTTTTTGAATTTTGAGTTTTATCTGGAGTATTTTCGCCTCCCTTGTTCCTTTTCGCCTTGTCAACATGCTGTCAAACTTGTATTACCTCGTACATGCTTAAGGGTTCAGAGTTGACAACTTCTCTGAAAGAACTGACAAGGGATGTCATTACAGTTGTACATGTAAGACGTCAACGTACAAACTTTTACCATCACCTAGTTCAAGACCTGAAATGTACATTAGAAATCCGCAGTTATATTTCTAACTCTAATGCTGGTCTGCTTCCTCATGTCTACGACCACCTCCTTTGAGGGATCTATCTAGGTTGGGTCACTGCTGAGGTCAAGCGCCACTCTGATGTTCCAGATGGGAGTAAATTTACACTAATCCTTCCGAAAAACCCACTTGGGCCAAAGCCGCAGACATGTAAAACTATAAAGTGGGGGAGACATTCCTGAGCCATCTGAAAGTAATCAGCCTGTAAGCTGCCGAGATTCAGATGCAGATGAATGGGTTGCTATCCCAAGGTTACTTACGGTGGTTTAATCAGTTAAACTGTTTGGCTTTTTGAGCCACTGCACAGCAGCAGGAGATGGACTGATGGTGATAGCCCATGAGTGTCTGCACCACGGGGAGGTCACAGGTCAGGCTGAGCCACAACTCAGCTGGCACTGAAAGAAAAAGTGTCGTGTTCAAGGACACACAGCAGTTTGAATCACAGTTTGCTGTCTAACGCAATCAATTTTAGAAAAGTTCATTCTCCTCATATGTAGTTTTTCTTGCATGCTTGACCACGGCTCTGGATGAATCCTGCACCATCAGTCTTATCAGTTCATTTTACACTCTTGGAATACTGATCTATTTTGGGTGTTTTATCTGTCAGTGTCAGCTCTGCAGCATTGAACTCATCGCTGGAATTTGGTGCTGAAGACTAATTGCAACCCATCAATGCACGATCTTTCTTTCATGGTTTGGTAAGAATCTCTTAAAGGAGGAGCTCTGTGCAACCGCCACGGAGCTTTTCCAGCTGTGCATTTCCCAGATAGCTCCAGTCGAAACACGGAAGTTGAGGGAAATTCCCTTGAAATTAAAATTGTTCTCTTACATTTTGAATACTAACAGTTGTCGTGCAAAAACGTAAGTATCAAACTACCATGGGATTTATATTCAGCAGTGGCTATACCTTGAATAATACATCAAACTGACTAGAAACGGTTTAAAAGAGCGTCGATCAGAAAGGGAAGGAAACGATTCCAAGGGCGAACCTGAGATTTTATTCTGGAAGACTGACGGAAACAGAGTCCTCGATGCCAGCTGGCTTTAAAACCGCTCTCTTTCTTGCGGTCTACCTCTCCAGCATGCAAATGACTGTAACTCCAATATATCGCAGATTGGTTAACAGCACAGAACGCGCCGCGCCGCGTGAGAGCAGCGAACCCCGCGCCTGCTGACAGAGGCTTCGTTATCGACACTGTAATCGATCCAAAAATTGCCTCGTGCCAAACGGAAAACTTTATATTTTCATTCAATCAACCCATCAACGTATCCATATTAACAGTGCAGAGGCTGAACTCATCATCCCGGGACCCG